TCGCGCCTGAGTGCCATCGGCGCCGATGGCAATTTTAAGAAGCTAAAACGAGCGCGGCGGACCTCGGTGCCGGCAATTAGAGAACGGCTGCGCGAAAGAAATCGCCGTGCTCTGTAATTCTCTGTATAAACACTCGGTGCCGACGGCGCCTGTCTTTATACGTCCCACGCCACGTACGAGCACGTGTATACACGCGATATGCAAATCCACGGATAATGCGCATCGCGGCTGATCGCTCCGCCTGGTCGGTGGTCGTAATTCGCGAGCGCGCAACCCGAGCATTTCTCTCTAATGAGATTTTTTTATAATTAAAGGAGAAGACAGAACGCGCGCGTATGCGCGAGAAGATACGCGTATCGCTCCTTTGTTTTTATCAGTGCGTGTGACGGCTCGCCTTTCAAAGAGTGAATTCATATTGATAACAGTAACAACTTTGTGACAAATACGACACGATATTATAACTGATTGCTACACTATAGCAGTAATTATTGTAACAGAATATTACCACAACTTTTCTGCACGCGGTCTCTTCCAGAAACTTCGATTTCTTTCAATGACTCGCGCATGATTAATCTTGTAGTTCACATTATCTACATTGTCCGGTTTATCTACCCGCTGAGCAGTTTCCTGTCTTTACAAGTCGCTCGACTGAGACGTTGCAATGTTTTAGAATACGATTACTGAAGCCAGTGAAAAATACCAACGAAAAATACCCGCTGTATGTGTTCACATATTCACACATATTCGAGATCGCGATTATAATCCGTGGTAAAACGCATTGATCTTTCGCGAACGTAGTTGCTCGTAATATTAAATCCGCGACAAATTAATCAAGCAAGTAACCAAAGCGCGACTAATGCGGGCTGAGCGCCAAATGCTGTTTCTAACGTAATCGAATTTGCATTGTGTCTCGCGTCGAGAGTAGCGAATGTATCTCCGCGCGTCGGTGCCGAATAGCTGGCCGTGCTAATCAAATAATTCACTTTCGTATCCTGATATTGCGCGCGCAACGTCATATCAGAACGGCGAAACATCGGAGTAAATCAGCTCAAAATAGCCTCGTGACCGAATTAAATTCTACGAATGCGATATCGAAGATATATCTCTTAATGTCCGAAGTTATCGCGATAAATAACTGGAATAAGTTATCATGGTTTAAATTTATTGCGAGTATAAAGTTTGTATATCAACTTCATCTAAAAATATAATATAATCTCGTAGTTAGCACAATCTTCTTACATATATAACCCCAAAAGGATTTCTCTAAAACCAAAAAGAAAATATTCGAAGTATAATATTATTTTCTTCTTTATTAGAATACTTCTTCGGTAAACATTTTTTGCTTAAATTATGGGACTATAAAAATAGCATCTTACAATAAGAATTCTTCTTCAGCGCATTAGAATATTTGCCTTTGGTCTTGGAAAAATCCTTTTGAGGCCATAACATAAAAGGATTTCACTTATGAGATTATATTTATATTTATTTGAATGATCGTGTCTGGAAAAAGAATCGCTTCGAGTCGCGAATCGACTGAGGAATAGAATCGCCGAATTTAAATAATATTTCCAACATAAATGGCAGAGAGAAAGAGAGAGAGAGAGAGAGAGAGAGAGGGGGAGACGAGTTTTAATCGTAAGCCACGTCTCGTAAGCGAGACCAGACGCCGTAGCAGTCGAGCGTTCACAATACGTTCCCGAGGTTATTGATTGCATCTAAAGTTTTTTAATTTTTCCCGATAAAGGTGCAGTTTGCGCCAGCGGCTTTGGGGTAGCGCATCCCATCACATCGCATCGCATCGTTTCGGGGCAGATAATACCGCTTAATTGGCGGGCGCATCATTTCGGGCAGGTAATGCTGCTTAATTGGCGAGCGGAAAACAATGCACCGCGCGGCGTGTACGTTCATTATCCGCCGCGCTATTCTACGCCGGTTATATCGCGCATGAAAAACCGCTCGCGGAAACGGCATATATCCGCGCAAACGGCTGGACGGCGATTAATACGCCGCAGACTGAGTGGCACGTTGATCGGCGGTGATTCGCGGTGACGGGCGAATTATTATCTATCCATGTCATCGGTGATTATCAATTAATTCGTCTCCTGAGACGAGCAGCAGACGAGCAACTTACTTTGCGAGCGGATGCTCGTTTAGATAAGCGGAAAACTCACTCGCATAAATAACGATACTTTACGAATAAGGATATACAGATTTGAGCAACCGAAAGAGATGTTTGTGTAGTTATTATTTCACTACAATATATGCACGATCGATCGTGTGCCTATGTATGGGAGCTCTTTCCAACTGCGATGGTGGTGTAATGGTCAGCATAGTTGCCTTCCAAGCAGTTGATCCGGGTTCGATTCCCGGCCATCGCAGGGTTTTCTTTTGCTGCAATTTACTTTCGCGTCTTGTTACAGCGCGAACTCCAAGTTACTGCTGAAACCAGCTTCTTGTACCTGCGATGGTGGTGTAATGGTCAGCATAGTTGCCTTCCAAGCAGTTGATCCGGGTTCGATTCCCGGCCATCGCAGGAATATTTTTTGCCAGCTGTATATAATATTTTTTCTTCTTTTATACACTATTAAATGTATCCCTCTTAAATGTTCCAACATATTTTAATAATTTATAATAAGGCAAATGCTGATATATTATTTCTGTTTCTTTGTCTAATATTTCTTACGGAATTTAAAGTCACACGAATTTCAACGTTTATAATTTCATATTCTAATTATTACAAAATATACTGCGTCTGTTCGCGAAGTTTTGTTCGCGAACTCTCAAAATTACTTTTATGCACAACGTATTTTGAACATAATAATGCATATTCTATATATGCATAAGACAGAGGAAATCTGTCGCCTCTCCGTAAGTAATAAAAACGGTTTCAAAAAAATTTTTCCTAAATTATCTCTACAATTTTAATTGTACAAAAAATATCCCTTTCTCTCTTTTTGTAGAAAAACAATACTGGCAAAAATAAATTCCGATACCGGGAATCGAACCCGAGCCTCCTGGGTGAGAGCCAGGTATCCTAGCCACTAGACCATATCGGATGAGTTGTACTCTCCTGCTTCTACAGCAGGTTACAAGCTCTAATAATTTATTAACCCGTTGATTCATTATGAATTTACAAAGCATTTTTAATACATCTAGATATATTCGGTCAGCCAAAAAGTTCGATTTGATTTTTTAATTAAGTTTAAATTTATTGCGTTCAATGGAAACGAATTATTCATCAATAAAGTAAGTAATCGCTGTTGTTTTTTATGAACTTTCTATATTCTGATAACATTCGTATATTTCCATCACAAATTGAACTTTTTAATTGATATTAAATTTATAAGCGATAAACATTATTTTGTATAAAATGTAACACGTTATTCTCCCTCCTTCTACTTTATCTTCATCTTATCTTCATTATCCTTCTTTATCTTATATCTCGTAAAATACTATCCAAATAGCTTTTAAAGAAAGACATTCTTCAAGAATGTCTCACATACATACATACATAAATTCATAATTTTATTTATTTTTGTCGCGGCCGATCTTTAGGGACAGATTGATGTTTCCCTTCATCCAACTTCTATCTTTTCATCGATATTTCTTTTTCCACTATTCTGCTAAACCTCCTACAAAAGTTTTCTCGATACATTTTTTAAATAAATATCCTGACAAATTTGACAGACTCTGATAATGGCCAATAAAAACTACGTGTAGAAAACCTCGATAACTTGAACTGAATATTATAACGAATATTGTAACGAAAAAATCTTAAAAAAGTTATACCTGCATCTGTACGAATATCGAGGTAGGATGTCAAAGGAAAGCTGGTAACGTGTTTGGGAAAGGATATATTCGAACAAAGCCTAAAAGGACACAAAGGTGAGAAAGAAAATGCGTACTAAGTTTGAAAAGAATAGTGTCAGCTTTAAGTATAAAAAAAGACTTTTGAAAAGAATTTTGTAAAGTCATGCTAAAATAAGATGAAAAGCTATTGTTGAAAAGCATTATAACTATAGTGTGTATGTGTGTGCGTGTGGGGAAAAAATTTTAAATTTTCTCTTCACCGTTATTTATTTTTGCCAGAAATATGACTGTAACGGTGGAAAGACGAACGTCATCTTCATGACCGCAGTCACTTTCCCATCATTGTCATCTAATCATTCTCACTAAAGCAATTTTTGGCAGAACAGTGATGTATAACAGTATAGCATGAACAACCGCAAATGTCGTCAACGTCGTGCGAGAATCTCGTATTTGACAAACCGCACCGTATGACCATTTCATTACAGGCGCGTATATAAACAGGTTAGACCTAGAGATTTTGTATTGTTCTGTGTAAGGGAAAGGTATAGACAACCACATGATGACATAGCAGTTTTCTGCTTCGACTTAAAAACAGCCCTTTGGAATATGAGAGTTCTCCAAAAGAAATTTTTTACTAATATCTCTGATATCATAAAAGATATGTGGGAGAAATATTAGATACAAAATTTGATGACATTATGCAGATTCTTCAAGATCTGCATAATGCAAGATCTGCAGTTTGCAAGCGTTAACTATCATTTTTTCAAATTTCTTTTGCACAATGATGCTTTTTGTTTCGTTTTCTCTTAATTATTATTAATTTTTCATTATCGACGAATTTATATGTCCTGATCAAATTGTTTCTTTGCTTTTCAAGTTTACCCACGTTCCACGTATATAAGCTCATTTGTTATATTTTATAATTTTATTTAAACTGGAGATAGACGTAAGGTAACGCGACCGAGTTGTGCCACAAGAAGCTCGAGTTTGTCGAATGTATATTTGGATAAATCGTCTTCGTTGTATCGTTTGGTAGATTTATGCATTCCAGATTTACTATTTTTCTTTCCTGCAATAAGCATAATAAAACGTCTCCGACATTTCTACGCTCCTGAATAGCTTTCTTAACTTTATGTTAGTGCGCATGCGAATATCTCTCCCTTCTACTATTGCCCGGTACGTCCGTCAGTCGCTTGCCTGCCGTCCACTCTACAACTCGTGATACAACGTTCAGGTGATTACTCAGATTTTAGAACAAAGAACCGTGCACGGTAAAGAAATATCGCAGGTGGACGCTCATAGGTAAGAACCTCCCAAGTATATCTTAATTTTAGTGAAATTACGCCTTCCCGCGCATCTCGCAGCTATATAAACCGAGACGCTACTGGACAAAGGTCGATTTTCGGTCATCGACCGACGCCACTCTTTCGATACTTCTTTTACACTTGTTATATTATACTGACATATAACTTACAATACACACGCAGCATCACGAATTCGCATGCAGTCGCATCACACCAAATTATTTTCATCGAGTAAATTAAAACGATCGAGTTTACTTCGATTTTTTTAAAAAAATGTGTTCGCGTTTGAAACTTTTATAAGTAATGAAGGAGAAAAATTTTGTCAACGTTACAACTGAGACCGGACCAATAGTTACTTTCTATAGTCCGTATCGTGATCAAATCCGCGGTTGGAGAATCCCGTTAAAATTTCCACTTACGGAATTCGTGTCGAAATTGGTGCTTCTAATTTTCAGACGATTAAATATTTCGGACGATTTGAATTTTTAAATCGAATCTTTATTTGATTCTTTTTGAAAGATTTAACTTAGGCTAATAATTTAAAATTATTCGTGAAGTTAAAAATTGCGATATATCATTAAAACGTGATAAACGAAATATGTTCATTTTCCGCTCGCGACGTAAATTTTACTCGAATTTTTCTCGAATTATTTAAACGATCGAATTTTTAAACAGTGCGAGCTTAATGAAGTTTGTGCATTTAGCTTTCAGTCAACTTGAAATACACTTTAAAACTGGACAGACTAGAATAAATTAAAAGTTAATTTCGCAATCCGGTTTTTAAATTGCGAATATACGTGTTCTTTGTGATATGGGTGTGTTCTTCGACTACCGAGAAAGAATTCCGAATATTTTTATTTAAAATGTTTTTTTCTTTTAAAGCTTGGATAGATTATATTAAAATATTAAAGTAAAAATTTTATACGGCGAACCGTCTCTTACATAGCATCTTAATTACGCCATTGTATAAAGAAAATTATCGAAATAGTAAAATATTGACAATAATGAGATTAAGCGATAAGTTCGTAAAAGAATTTTACCCGAAATATTTTGCCACTATATTATTTAGAGTAGTCGAACGCTACGATATATTATCACAATTATAGATTTAAATCTATTTTTAAGTGCCAAAATTATTTGTAAACAACGAATATTTATTTATTTTAGATAAAAATCAGAAGTGCAGTATGCAATATAAAATTGCAATATAAAATGGAAAGTTTACATCAAGATATCCTTAAACGCCTACAGAAGCAAATAATTATCGATTTAGACGTTAATAATGGCATTATATTGCCCCTGAAAACCGAATTTGTTTTAAACGACATTGATGTGGAACGCATCAACGCTGGAGCTAATGACCAACAAAGAACCAAAATCTTATTAGACATACTTCCAAGGTATATACCTATTGATATGTATTATTTAACACTTACACATACATTATGCAAATATACGTGTTGCTCTTTTCATTTTTTACTCCAATTTACACAATAATAGAAAGTGATCATTAACGTATCACAATACACTTTCGCAACCTGCACCTTGATTTAACAAGTTGTGGCTTGTAACAAACATAATAGGTATCATTAACACTTTTAAGATGCGGTCCACGCGCCTTTGAAGTGTTTCATCAAGCACTAAAACATCACTACGAATGGCTTAGCGATGCTATAGATGAACTGCTTGGTAACTACAAAGTAGAAAGAAATGAAGTAAATTGTTATTACACGGCACTTTCTGGCCTTCCACCCATTTCCCCGCTGTCAGTTACCAGAAATGAAAAGGTATAATTATCTACGCTGTGACTTTTTACCCGATTTTAAAATATGAGTCATCCGGATCTCATTTTGCTGTAATGGTCATCAATATTGATAAGATAAAACTATAAACCTCTGATATTTACCAGTCGCGTTTACCTGCAATGTATATCTCTATGTTTGAATACCCTATTATTACTTTTTAAAATAATCGTAATTTGTATTAATAATCGTTAAAATAATCGTAATTCGAATTAATAATCTTTTTTTTTAATAATTCGAACAAAATGAGATGATTTTATATTTTATAATTTTTATAATTTTTACAATATTTAAAATAACATCATTGACCCTATACCGTAGGATCTAATTTGTTATAATAGGCTATTTAATTCTTATCTAGTTCAACTGTCCCTAAATGCATACGTATGGAAACATAAATCGCGTAAGTTTATGTAGTTCATCTTGTGACTCACTTGTGTTACTTCTTAATTTTCTACAATTTTTGCACCTAAAATACATTAAAATGCATTTATATATATATATATATATATATATTAAAACTTAATGTATGACATATAAAGTTGATTCTTATATAACGCATCGTGTTTACAGATTGGCCAGTTAACTAATGCTTTGCAGCAATTAAACCCCGGAGAATATATTACGTTACACGGCATGAAAGGATTTGGAAAGTCATGTCTAACTGCTCTTACTCTGAAAAACATGAAATTAATGGCGGATCTATTCTCGGTAAGTTTCATAACTACTATATTTATGTGATATTTTACGTTTTACACAAGAGTGATTTTCTCTCATTATTCTTTCATTTAAGTGCGAGGTTTACTGGCTTAAATTTATATGCGAACGCTCAATCGACGAAGAGATATTAATTCAATTAAATACGCTCTATCACAAAGTAAAAAATTTGGAAACTCAGCTAGAACCATTCACTCCGCTGGAAAAGGATTCCTTGATTCGATTTTTAGAACATCATTTTAGCAAACCGGAGCATCAAAATGCCTTATTAATTTTAGATGACGTTTACCACAAGAAAATTATTAAGGCTTTTGATTTCGAATGTAAGACTCTAGTTCTTACCACTGATATTGATATTTTAGATGGAAGAGTTAGTAAGCACAAAATAAAGGTAATAGATTACTTGTAATGTTCTTCATTCCGTTACATTTTTGTTTGAGGGGATTTATCCCAGAGCGTTGAATAAGTAATGCTTTAGTAATTTCTCTACTATAAGCTAACAAAGTACATGTTTTCCATAGATGGATGACGGATTTACAGAAACAGAGACGTTAGGTTTATTTGCTCAAGTGTTAAATATAGACATAGACCAATTGCCCCCAGAAGCAAAGAAAATTCACAGAGAATGTAAGGGAATGCCGTTGCTCATAGCTATGTTTGCGGCACACTTTGAAGAGTTTAAGGAAGACATGAAAATAGTAGACGGAACGCATGACAGATGGAAATATTACCTACAATCTTTGAAAACAAAAAATCCGAACAACAAGTAAGAGCAATTGCATAACTTCTAAAACGCTCCATCAGTTATTCACGTCATGTTGTTATAACCGTATCTTGTTGCAGGGTAATCAAAGAGTTCTTAGAAAAGCAAGAAACTATTTTTGATATGTGTATTGATCAATTGAAACCAGACCTGAAGGAGCAGTACAAGACATTAGCCATTTTCAATGAAGATGTTAACATAACGCCAATGGTATATTGACAAACTTCTATTCGATCGTCCAACAGATTAATACGTATCGTTTCTCAAGCCACATTTTTACTTTTATTATAATTGAATAAAACTTTGCAGACGCTAAAAATTATCTGGGGACAAGACGAGTCATTCAACGTGGAACAGCAAATGCTGGACCTGTGTCACAAGTCACTCGCCGCGAAGAAATGGAACAAAGATACAAAGAGCTACATTTACGGTGTGCACGATTTGCTATTGTGTCATTTACGGAAAAAATTACAACCGGACAAACTGATGCAGTTGCACAGATTGGTTATCGATATGTATCGCATGTACTGCAAAGACGATTTCTCACAGTTGCCGGATGACAATTACATACACTCTTATATCGGCTATCATTTGGAGCAAGCCAAGATGTACGAGGAATTTCCGCGCCTTTACTTCGATTTTGACTTTATCCAAGCTAAAATTATATATTCAGGTTTAAGCGATTTATTGCTGGATTTAAAGAAATATCGCACGTACATAACGCGCAACAACAGTGATTGCGAGAGACATGTTTCAGACTTGGAAACGTTTCTCCAAGACCAAGTGAGCGTCATAACAGAACACAGGCGTAAGAATTGCCTTGATATCGTCCAAATCGCGATGAATTCGCAGCAAGACTATGTCAGGCAAAGCGCGAGGAATCTAGTTATGCAAAGACAACAATTCCTGTACTTATCTCATGATAAGAAGCCCGCACACGCCAATATGACGCACAGCGAGGAAGTGTCGGCTGGAATATGCACATCGTCCTTCACGGATGAACCTCATAGGATTCTGGCGGGCTACACGTCGGGCAAAGTAATCTTGTGGGACTGCGAGAACAAACAGCGAACTATCCTCAACAGTTGCAATAATGAGATTTCCGTTAAGAAGATCGTCGTGTCCGCGGGAGGTGACTACTTCCTTACATTGACTGACAACGGCGTGGTAAAATTGTTTCGTCTGTTCTATGAACAAGATCATCCGTATAATGTACACATTGACAGTGCAAAGGAGAAGCAAAAGAGTTGGACTGACTTCTTTACGAATGATAAGGAGGACGACAGCTTGTTGAAGTTGTCGATCAAAAACGAGATCATATTGGACGTGGAATTCGGATATCAGGATAAATTCATTGCTGGGTGTACTAACAAAGGGACTGTCCAGGTACTTATTAACACTATGAATAATCGTATTAATATCTGATAAATAGTCGAGTTTTTTACTGTCTCTCGCGATTCTTACGAGCCGAAGTACTTTGCACTTATCACCGTGATAAATAACGACTGTAGATAACTCGTGTTAGAAATTGGTAATTTTTACAAACTGACTTCGCGCAGATAAAAGCGGAAGTGAATGTAGCGAGCGAACAAAGACTTCGTGTGCGAGGAAGCCGGCAAGTATCTAACCTAATTAAAAAAAAATCCGGTTTAACTGCCGTAGTGTAGAGATCGATGTATCGAAGTTTGTTCGGACGTGATCTACGATTTCTGAGATATACTTTGGATTATTTCGAAACAGCAACTAGTGAATGCTAACACAAATGATATTTCGAAAGAGATCTTTTGATCTTCTCGTCAAAAAGATCTAACTTAATCTAACCCAATCTAACATGAATTGAACGGTTTATTTACGGGCCAAAAATGAGCAATATAAGGTTTGTTCCAATGACGTATATACATAGACCAAGCATTTTTATATTTCTGCTATAGCAGCGAGTGAAGTCCGAAGTTGGCAGTTTAAAACAGAGTGAGAAAGTTGATTTGCCCCTAGTGCTTTCTCATTCTATCATATAGAAAGAATATAGTCGCTGCCAAGCTGTCAGGTGCAGAATTGAAAGAATAAAACCTTATATTTCACTTATCTCGACATAAAATTGATATTTATAATATTTTATGCTGTATATAAATAATCACAGCAATTGCTCTTATCTTATTCTCATTCCATTGTCAAATGAAAAAAATTAGGTTGCTATAATGGGATACAGTTCTTGGATAAGATTTAGTGCTGTAAACCATAATTCCATTTAGTGCTATAGATGCTTCAGAGCTACGAATGGATCAATCACATTGTTTTATTTAATGTTTTAAAATATTTGCAGTGTTAAACGGGCTCTACTTCTTGACAGTCAATAATATAGAGTGAGAAAGCACTAGGAGCAAATCAACTTTCTCACTCTGTTTTAAGGGCCATCTACAATAGAGCATCGTACGCTGTAAGAAATTGACCAATCACAATCGATTATTCTTGTAAAACTTCAGTATGATTGGTCAATTTCTTACTGCTACCGCGTACGATTTTCCATTGTAGATGGCCCTTTAAATTGCCAACTTCCGTCTTTACTTTGCGGACAGAATGCTTAAAGGGACGTCTACATTGGAAGTAAATAGCAAGAAGTAGGAAGTAAGAGTAAGAAACCACAGTCGTATGACCAACCACAGTCGAATGTGAGAAGAATAATTAACTATGATTGGTCAATTTCTTACTCTTACTTCCTACTTCTTGCTATTTACTTCCAATGTAGACGTCCCTTTATAGCTCTTGCACATAGGACGCGGTAAATGCTTGCCGCGCGGCGGAAGTTCGCGCAACAGCCAATCAATATGTTGTTTTTCCATAAGAACAAGAAAGTTATCATGGAAAGCAGCATATTGATTGGTTGTCGCGCGAACTTCTGCCGCGCGGCAAACATTACCGCGTCCTGTGTGTAGAAGTCATTAGTCTATGTATATATGTCATTGGTTTGTTGTGTTTAGCTGCACTGCTGCAATAAGTTAGAGTGAGACAAATATATTTCATCTTACTTTAATTTATTGCAGTAATGCAGCTGAAAAAAAAACAGACCAATAATGTTGCATTACGCGATGCTCTATAGCGTTTTGTTTTGTCATTCAGCTCCAGTCTCGGTCTAACCGTTATGATCAGATGTGCTCGAACAAGTTCGGGTCGTAGATTTTTTGGAACGGCCTTGGAATTTTCCAGGCTTTATTTGACCCTCATTTAATCGGGAAGCTGGCGTAAGGGGAAAATATTCCCCGAGCTATAAATTGAAGGAAGGAAGGTCACTCAGCTCGTGACATGTATATTCTTTTCTGATGAGAGATCTCACATGTCAGCAAAGTGACATCTAAAGACGTATAAAGACGTCATTAAGATGTCACAGACATTAATGATGTTTTTAGACGTCACCTTGCTATCTGGAATGTCAAACCGGTTGAGAACGCAATTTACCATGTGGTTCTGCGAGACATGTGTTGCAATTTTTTTTTATGTATAACAACTCTAATCAAGCATCCCTTTTCAGATATGGAATCGGAAAGGCGAAGTTGTATCTTCCATAGAAAACAAGAAAAAGTAAGTGCAATTGTATCAACACGATAAGATATGAATTGACGATAATGTTTAATAAAAAATAATGGTAATTATCCAGTTTAGCGGCCTCACCTCCGATTTCGATGAAAATAGGCTCAATCGACGCGTTTTTGCATGCCAAATAACTTTTTCTTCTGACAAAATCGTCGCTCTCTACTGCGAAGCGAGATATTAATAGACAAAGTTGAGGGTGTGTTAGGTTAGAAAATCTGTCATATCGTCTATCTCTAGCTATGTAACTGGGGGGCTTCGCCCCCCAGACCCCCCTATCACGGGAGGTGGGGGCTACAGTCTTTTGTGTGAAATTTACTCTTTAGCTTAATTAAGCATAAGAGACTATAGCCCCCATCCCCTCTGATAGGGGGGTCTGGGGGGCTTCGCCCCCCAGTTACATAGCTAGATGGTATGACAGATTTTCTAACCCAACACGTCCTCACCTTTGTCTATTAATATCTCGCTTCGCAATAGAGAGCGACGATTTTGTCAGAGGAAAAAGTTATTTGGCATGTAAAAACGCGTTGATTGAGCCTACTTTCATCGAAATCGGAGGTGAGGCCGCTAAACTGGATAATTACCAAAATAATGATTAACGCGTCCATTTGTTATAGCGATTCAATCACGAAGATAACCTTCACTGACCAGGGTGCATTGTTACACGTTATGAATGAGTCAAACGGTTCCTTTACGGTGTACAGAAGTGGTAATGATCGCGGCATGTACGAATATGCTTCCTCTTATAATACACAATTACAAGAGAGACAAGTTATCTATTTCCATAACGTGCCAGAGCACGACAACTCCTTGATGATCGTTACCAGCAAAAGAGCTCTATATGTAAGATGGATATACCATTCGAATGACCGTTTGGTGTACAATTTTATAAAGCAGGAAAGGGCATGTGTCGAGAATGACACGATAACTTATGTCTGCGCTGCCATCACCTACGATGGTGAATACTTGGTTGTGGCTGATTCCGCTGGTTTTGTCAACGTATGGTACGCGGACACTGGCTATCAACCGATTGCGACCTACAGAAACTGTGTCACGTCTCTGGATACCTATTGGTTGCAGGACGAATATTGTCATCTCGTATGTATTTTAACGAATTAATTGATTGGATCTGAGATCTAGCTCGAGATTTAGCAGAATTTTCCTTGTTTTTTCAGATATGCGGCACTGAGAATAGTTTGCTGCACAAATGGAAACTACCAATACAAGTCTCGTCATCGACGTTGGTGAGGTAACATATCAGAGATTATTTCTGCGATCGCATGTACAATCGTTTGCATAAAAATCGTGACAAATTCTCTGGACAAGCTTATGAACACGTGAATTTAATGAGATTGCAAATCTTTACACAAGCTTGAGCATTAAGAGGTTTGAAAACTGGAAAATTTTGAAATACGAGATGCACATATAAATTACAATTTATAAGCAGAAGTGTAAATATCATTATGTAAACCTGTCTAAAGAAAGTCTTGCAACCTTTGTGCAAACCACTCTACATATCCAGTCTTAATAAATTTACTTTGAAACTCTTATTCTAACTCTTATTGTCTCTTTTATCAATAAAAGTATTTCTGTAAATGTGACTTGTAATCCTGATTGGTTTACAAGTACATTGATTGGTTTACAAGTACATTTAAAGATACTTTTGTCGATAAAAGGGAGTTTAGAATGAGAGCCTTTGTATTAGGTTAGTAAAAACAGTTCAATTCAATCTTCAATTGATGATCATGTACATATAACACAAATAACAATGCTGATTCCTATTGTCACTATATTGACAAAAGATCACAGACAATGAACACGATATCATTTGATTGATGACTAATTCATTCTTATTGAAAGCAATAGAATTAAATTTGATCTAAAAATCGAAACGAACTGTTTGATTAACCGAATACTTCATTTTTTAGATTCTGTATTAAATCTTGCTCAATTATCTTTCCATTGTAATCTAGGAAGTCCCTATTTGACGCAATCGTACGATCGTATGACAAAGAAGACGTTATTGTGAAAGAAAGCTTAACAAACCACATTGTAATATTGCACGGAGAAACGCAAATAACAAGATGCGAATATAAACCAACAGAGGGGAAGATATCAAACTTGAAATTATTTTCTAATGGAGACAAAATGTTGTACGTCATGGAAAGAAACGTACCGCAAAAAGATGTGCCGTATAGCAACAAGCTCTTGTTATTCGATATAAAAACCGAAAAGACATCTATCCTTATGGAATCATCGCTACATCCCATAGAACCCGTTATCTTAAACATTAATAACAACGATATAATCGTCTGGAGAGAAACGAACAACGGCTTGAGGGTACGTAGTACCACACATACAAAAAACATATACTGAATATATACTAAAATATACTTGCTGTGTGTCTTATGTACACTGAGAGAAAAATGTTTGGTATTTGTAATTATAATCATATAGAGAAATAATTACTATAAATTATAGTCAAGACAATCATTTTTTAGTCAATTGCACTATAATTTTAGTGATAACTTTATATGCATGTTACTACTACCATCTTTGTGTTGGAACAACCAAAAAATATAGTTTGCACCAAATTGGGCCCAACTATATTTTTTGGTTGTTCCAACACGAAGATAGTAGTAGTAACATGCATATAAGGTTATTATCACTAAAATTATAGTGCAAAAATAGTTGTCTTGAGCATAATTTATAGTAATTATTTCTCTATATGATTATAATTACAAATACCAAATATTTTTCTCTCAATGTAAGATATGTAATGATCTAATACACAAATGTTGATGTTTGATATATATTTATAGGTATGGATAAACACTAAAGAATCGTACACGGTGAATAATACAGGACAAGTTGCATTTATCCATAAATTGAATGATAAATACATAGTAACGATCACGAAGAATGGTGTCATATTGATCTGGCAGATTGAACAAAATTGGCTGCCAATAAGTCGAAGGGAATTAAACTCATTGGATACAACAAACATCTCGTTTAGTTGTCTAAGTCACAAAAAGACTTACTTAGCCATCTTAAATAAATCGCACAATCTGATGTTCTTTACCTTTTACGAAAACGAAACGATAGTGCCAACACGTATAGAAACGAAACTTTACTCCACGCATAATTTTTCGCATAAAGTGACCTACTACGACATTTCGCAAGACGAGCAATATATCGCGGTTGGTCTTGAAACTGGACTCATCACTGTAAGTATATTTCACGATCGTCATTAGCACATTTACACGGGTATATCGTGTTTCAACGAATTTAACATCGAATATTGTTCTAGATCATCAACATACCAACAAGTATAGAGATACATCAGCTAAGCTTTCACAATAACCCTATTAAGCAATTGTCTTGGGGCCCAACTGCCTTAAAGGCACCGATCCTACTTTCATTAGCAAACGACGAATTAGCTTGGTGGAATGTCAATCTACACTCTACGGATAAATTCAACGTGAAGCAAAGGAGAAGTCGAAAGGGCATTACCCACAGCAAGAGCACCCCTTCGTTCAATACAAATAAAACACTGCCGATTCAACAAATTCCTAATAGCCAAAGTTTAGATACTGATGGAGTTTGGATATCAAAGTTACAACATAACAAGGAATCGAGCGCAAGCACTTCAAACGGCGTTGACATGCATATAAATTGGAAGAGCAAAATAAGCAAGGATCCCAAAAAAGCAGCATTGTTGGCGGCTGTTGAACTGCCGCAATGCCGTACCGCAAAAATATGTATCTCTCCAGATTTTATGAAATTCGTCACGGTCGATATTTATGGGGCCGTGAGTACATTCAAACCATTTAGCCATGCTTAATTAAAAGATGCTATAAAGCTCAAAGGTGGGCTTTCATAGCATTAATTTAGAATGCAATTCTTCGGAATGTGCAATTATGCATTTGTGATAAGAGTATGGTTCTACGCAATAGGATGTGATTGCATGAATATAAATTTGACATATGCTTGAAACATGCATATGTGCATCTATACAGGATAATTATATTCTTTAAAAAAATTGAGAAACAAATATTATATAAAATATGGATCACATCAAGATACACGTATCAGTACGTTATCTTAATGGGATCAGAGATTATAACGCGAGTTACCACATGTTACCGCGTAAATTTGTATGTGCATACACACACACACACACATACATACATATATATATATATATATATATA